TGCCATCCACCATCTGCATTCGTTAAGATGGCCGGTGTGCCTGACGTTGCATGTGGTTGTTCTAGCTGCGGTAGCCTCAGGTTGATCTGGGGCTCCGTCTGGGCGAATTTGTCGTCGGCATGTCGCACGTTTCGCTGTGTACGTGCGCTTCCAAAATGCCGTTAGAGTTCCAAAACGTGCGAATAAAAGAAATGGCGCCGATCTAAGTCCCGGGAGTTTCCTCTAACACTTTACACTTCACCGAAACAAGATATATATATGGACATTTCCTGGGGTCGCATTTCCAATTAGTGCCAAAAAATTCAAGAAAAAAACATTTTCTGATTTATTTTTTTTTATTTTTTTGTTTGTTTCCGATAGCATTTAGTGAGTTGTTTTCTAAAAGTAAATTATCAAATTATATTGGCAAAAAACATGAGGTCGCGAACGTACGCGAAATGGAAGTCGGTTTTGGCTTGCTCTAGCAAAATCAAAAAATCTTCGAATTAGAATAGAATATTTTAGTGCAATAACTTTAGTGTTAAAATAGAGGCGTGTAGCTTTCTATCGAGTCTATTCCCAATAAAATATCTCCATCAGTTTTTTTTAAATTAAATTAAGTACGGGTCGCGAACGTACGATTAGAACATAGATAAGAATCAAAATACAAATTAAGAAGTAATTGATTAATTTTTCCATTTCTTTGAATTTTTCTCGTCTTATTAGATTGTTATTAAGAGATTTAGTACAAAAAGAGCAAACACATCATATGTTTACCTTGAGAAATAAATAAACATAAAAATGTCTTTAAAAGTAAAAAAAAAGGTGAAAATTACATTTTTTGACTTTTTGACCTTTTTTTTTTAAAAAAAAGCTGAGTATGCTATGAATCGAATAGATTATGAAAATTTCGATATTTATTTATGAAAATAAAATAAAAGAATCGAGGAATATGAACATTTATTTTTTCGGTCCTGGTTGACCATCCGCCGGAATAGCCGATATATATATGCACACATGAGCGTGTGTGCATGAATGTCTCATTCTGTTGGGGAAATACAACTTAGAATTAGCCTCAACTTAATATATTTTTACCTACCGCAGTATCTCCTCCCTCTTTCTCCGGGATTGCTGATCGGGGTGTCAGTGGCGCCAAACTTAACTTTAGACCACAATCAGTGTGGCCAGATACAATCATAATGTAAGCCGCGAATACATACTGAATGAAAGTGCGGCGCGTAGTGGCGCGTAATTTGAACTGACTGACCAATTTCTGTATGCAAAATAATTATTTTTGATTCTCCAGTCTCCACAATTTTGTTGACAATACACACTTCATTTTGAAGTTTCAAAGGTAAATCGTCTTAGTTGATAATGTCCTACAATACTACGTTGCTCAAAAATGATCAGGCCTTATTAATGTTAAGACTATTGTATTGGTTTGTTTCTTACAGCTATATCTGTGAGGAAGCTTTGATTACTGTGTGTGTTTTCAGTTGTGTTCTGAATTTTTTATTATTATTAGTATATTATTTCTATTATTAGAGATTATAGATTATTTATTATTATTAGATTAAATTAAAAACGCGTTTATATTATCTAGAAAAAAATGTTTATGGCTTATACTTTTTTGCATTAGAAACAGCTTTTGTCGATCTGACTAATGACTTTACATTCTTCCAAGTTGACTCCAAATAAGTGGTGGGAAAACTTTCATTTTCCATAGCTCGCGTGCTTATCAGCTGATACTGCACACGACATACAGATATAACCTTTCGACGTCATTTTTACTGCCAGACGTCTTTTTTTTTTTAATTTGTCTCGTAGTTTAACAATTCAGGGTCTCTTATCTGCTCGGTTTGCAACTATACCATCCTTGTGGGTATCAGATCCGATCAAGTCACATTTTTTGACGTAAAATGGACCAAAATGTAGGCATCTATCAGTAGAAACGATACAGAGCTTACAGATATCGCGGTTCCAATGGTCAACCAAGTCTAAAAGTTTTTTGGACTTACATGGATTCATGGGGCGTTTTTATGGAAGGTTTTTTTTATACGTTTTTATTCTAACGTTTTTATGGATTCGCAATCGCTATCCTGTTAGGGAACGGTCATGGACACTCTTAGGATGTAAATTAAGGATACACGATTAACAACTACATATAATTGATTCAACCTTACTCCCTACCAACTGGAACCGATACTTATCTTTAACATCGTTGACGCATTTATCACACGCAATGGCGTGTCCCAGCAATGGTGTGATGGAACTGCTTGCAACCCTTGACAACTCTTTGACGTGTTGCCCTTCACACGTAAGGCAACCTCTGCGGTGGTCCTTGTCTGTTCTATGCCTTCCCGATGGTCAGTTTTCATCGGAAGATCCAGATTTGCGTTCGCATGTATCACCCGTACATGCAAGCTTATCGAGCTCACGTAGCCACTCGCTAAGATGCACTTCTGTTAGATATGGTTCTGTTAGATATGGTTTGGCCCAATCCAACCTCTTACTGTGTCACAACATGGAGGCGATTAGCTTACAGGTGTACAGCCTTTAATTCGTGTGACTTATCGCTGCATTCCCGCCCAAATATGGCAGCAAGCTTCCACTAAATTGTGGCAGCAGACTTGCACTTAATTGTTCCTGCAACTGTCCATCGTAAGATGGCGTCACTCACTCTGGTGTTCCCGTCGCGAGATTTTCACTGAAAAGCCGCTCGATCCGATACCATCGGGGTTTCTTACGACCGTCGCCAGTCCTTTATTTAACCGTGCCTGTAGGAGCTCCTTCTCCAGACTTGGGATCCTTTCCATGAGCGTCGCAATCTGTGTAGTCGTGGGATCCATAGTCCGTACTGCTGTTTCCACCTATGCAGTACTCATGGTTCGTTTTCTTTGGAATCTCAACTATCGCTCCTCATCTTGACCACCCGTCTTCGCCCGCTCATAAAATTCTTCAAAGCGATGATGCAGGAATCTGTTGATATATCATGGACCATCTCCAACGGGATGGCCTTTGTGGTTAAACAGGTGAACAATGCCACCAACCTTTTCTCGATGCGACGTTCAATCGTCACGTGCAACGATCCTAAATAACATTGTGTACTTTTTTTTTTAACCTTGCTTTTTTATCTTGAACCTTCTCTTTGCGAGACTTAGAAGTGTATCAAATCTTAAATTTTTAACTTAACTAACAATCATAATGACTGATACAAAGTTGAACGGCTCTTAAAATCGATTGCTGGGTTGGGAGGTCACTGCGTCTAAAGGCGGGATCCGTTGGAAACCAGAGTCAATCCTCGAGCGAGAAAATTTTAGTCGAAGACAGTTTTAGGAAATAGCCTCTTTTATTTAAAAGTTTTATTTTGCTTGTAACAGTGACACACAATTAAATTATGACACCCGAGAGACACTTTTGGCGATCCACATTGATTCTTAGAGGCTTCATGTATTATTTGAACTGTTGTTTACGAGCAACTGTATTAACATGTTCTGTTTTTGAACAAGAGTTTGGATGGTCGGTTTTATGAATGACATAAACTCCATTATAGTGTTCGATTTGCTTTGTAGCTGTTCTAAGCCCCGTTGAGCGCTTCGTGGGTTAGGCTTTCCATTCCAGATCGTAGAGCATCAGCATAGGAGAAGCCGTTAGTGGTGCTAATGGAGGACAAAAGACGACTGGCGTAGTTTCTGATTAATTACGCGGCAGTAATATCAGCTCCGATTTCTTTACTACCACTTGTAGGCCCTTGGTACTTTTCAGCTGTTACGTGTAGTAGTTTTTAAAATAGTCCAGTTAATTGGACACGACTCGGAAGTGCTCTTCACTTGTTTCATAAATGTTGCCTTTGATAATTTTTGCCTACGAACTCAACACCGGGGTTTCAGAGCTTTTCTCCCTGACATAGATTGAAGGGGGCTCGGGTTTTTTTTGCAGTGCCTTGCGCGTTGTTTTTCCCCAACCTCCGCCATTAGGGAACTGGCTGGTTGGAACTATCTGTTGTTATTGGATTTGCATTGTTCTTTAACGATCTTCTGAACGCGGTTAGTTTTTGTTTTGTTGCCTGCCGGACTTACTCTGGGGGCTTAGCTTGCGCTTAATTTAAATGTAGCGATCTATTTCATCCTGTGTCGCCGGTCTGCTTTGACACATTCCGAAGGTTGTAGGTGCTTTTAATTGCCGATTTTTCCATTTCGGTATCTCGGGTTGAAAAGTAAGAGTAGAAGGCCTTTTTTTGGTTATCTAAGTTTCTACGCTCTATTTGATTGTTGCTCATTGATCAACTTTTAATTTTTTTTTTTGTTTTTTTTTTCGATCTATTTCAGCATCAGCTCGCATTTCTGTATTCATCATAAAGCTTTAAGGCCCAGACGACCGAGGGGCGCTCGAGAAACGAATAATTAGTTAATAGTAAGCTAGTTGTAATATATTAAGCTAGAAGGAGTTAGTAAGGAAATTTATAATTCTATACTTTAATTCTAAAGCAGAGGTCGGCACGGCCCTATCTCGGGGGCATAGGAAATTTCTCTGCCCGAGCTCTGCCACACACATGTGTGAAACGTCATGCACACAGCCTACTTTCTGCTATTCGTTACTAACACTAATGCGGTAAAATCATATCAATGTATTGGGGTGCCGATCCCTGTTCTAAAGTATAAATTCTATACTTTTTATACACTTGCAGAGGGTATTATAATTTTGTAATAATTTTTGTATAATTTTGTGCAACGCAGTGAAGGAGACATCTCCGACCCTATAAAGTATATATATTCTTGATCAGGATCACCTCCTGAGTTGATATGAGCATGTCCGTCGGTACGTCTGTCTGTCCGTCTGTCTGTCCGTTTCTACGCGAACTAGTCTCTCAGTTTTAAAGCTATCGTCTTGAAACTTTGCACACACTTTTCTTTCCTTTGCACGCAGTATATAAGTCGGAACGGCCCGGATCGGCCGACTATAGCCTATAGCTGCCATATAACTGATTGATCGGAAATGGTATAACTTTGACGTTTTTCAAGTTAGAGAGAAAACTTCGATTTCTTCGACAATGGCTGTCCGGTAGTTAACTGCTTGTACTCCACGTTGAAGAACTCCTCTTGAGCGTGCGTAAAGATCTTAGCTCGTGCATATTGTAGCTCCCACGCCGTTAGGAATGGTGAAAGTCGATTCCTCTCAAGAAGACGATGAACGAAGCGAAAGCAGTAGCTGACTATCCTTAATAAACGGGACCATGAGGAGGATTTGTTGATCATACAAGATAGCGAAGATAGCGATAGCGATCCGTCGTCGGAAATGTGTAGATTAACTTTCGTTTCAGCCTTCATCTCTAGGCAGGCCTCTTCTTCTGTCGACAGAACAAACTTAGCTTTAACAGGTGGCCAAGCTGAACGTGACTGAGATAGCCAAGGTGGTCCATTCGACCATATTTGATGATCCACGAGGTCCTTTGGCAGTACTCCTCGCGATGCGCAGTCTGCGGGATTATCACCACTTTGAATATGTTGCCAGCAGCTGCGTGGGAAAACCTCTAGAATTTCAGCAGTGCGGTTGCAAACATAGGTGTTCCAAGTCCTAGGCGGAGAAGATAGCCAATGCAGGAATATTTCAGAGTCTGACCAACAATTGATTCTGGAAATAGGAACAGTTAATGATTGCTTGACCAGATAAATCAGTTTAGAGCGTAAATGAGCTGCGTTTAACTCTTGTCGCGGAATAGAGATAGGCCTAATAGGGGCTACGCGAGTTTTAGCCATAATCAGTTTGACAGCATATCCATTGTTGACTTCGACGCGGCTATAGATGACGGCAGCATACGCTTGAGATGATGCATCAGCAAATCCGTGCAGTTCCATTTCTTGATGTAGTGCAGATATGTAGCGAGGAACTCGACAAGTTTCCAATAAATGCATTTCCGATACAAACTGTTGCCATCGTGTACATAATTGCTGCGGTAGTACTTCATTCCAATCGACAGAACTTAGCCAACTATCTTGAAATAGGATCTTCAGAAAAACAACAGTTGGCGAAAGCAAACCCAGCGGGTCGTAGATCTTGGCTAGTTCTGAAAGCAATATGCGTTTAGTAAGAGCAGTTGTAAATGCGGGGGTTTCTAATTTGAAGAAAATATAGTCCGGTTTTGGTTCCCAACACAATCCCAGGACTTTAACAAATCGAAATGAGCGGTCTTCCTCTAAATCCTCTGGTGGATACTCACAAATCTCCTTTGGCAACGACTTTAAAAGGGCGTAACAGTTTGAGCTCCACTTTCGCAATTTGAATTGAGCTTCGCTAAGAAGCAGAATCAATTCATCTTTGAGTGCAATGAGATCCTTGATGTTGTCGCATCCAGTAGGAATATCATCAACGTACGCGTCTCTGTTGAGCACGACAGCAGCGGTGGGATACAATTCGGCATAGTCATTCGAGAGCTGTTTAAGAACTCGAACTGCAATAAACGGCGATGAAGCTAATCCATATGTTACTGTTACAACAGTCGATAATGATCCAGCGTAGCGTTTTCATCCTTCCTCCAAACTATGCGTTGGTACTGTGTATGTTCGTCCGACACCAAAATGCCTCTAAACATCTTCTCGATGTCTGCACAAAATACATAACGATGCTGACGAAATCGAAGGCATACTCCAATTAAGTCCCTTTGAATAGGTGGTCCTATATGCAGTCGCGAATTAAGAGAATGACCCGTGGAATCCTTTCCAGAGCCGTCAAATACCACTCGCCAACGTGTGGTAGTACTATCTGGCTTAAAAACTGCATGGTGTGCCAAATAGTTGTAGCGTGCGGGATCCTCACCGCCTGCAGCAGCCGGAATCAATACCATATGTCCTCGATTTAAATAATCATCCATGAAATCCACATATTGTTTTTTGAGTGCGGGGAATCTTCTAAATTTCCTTTCCAAAGCGGCGAAGCGGTTTAAAGCCTGTGGCAAAGTGGAGCCAATTGGCGTGCGGGGCTCCTTGAATGGGTATTGAACAATATAAACACCATCTTCTCTACGAGCATGTGTTTTCAGAAAATGTTGTTCGGCGGGATCACTGGCGTCTATCGTTCTTTTACTCGGATGCACTTGTTCCATGTCCATAAATGAGCGAACTAAGGAATCCAAATCTTCATAAGCGTGATGAACTTGTGCGTGCGTAGATGCTTCGTTACAATCAGTATAGCTGCCTGTAATAACCCATCCAAAATTAGTATGCAGTGCGATGGGGTATTCGATACCAAACTCTCGGCGATGTCCAGTATATAAGTTCCACAGCTGATCAGCGCCTAAGATAACGTCGATTTTCCCCGGAGATCCAAACGTCGGGTCAGCTAGCGGTAGGCTGCGAATCTTGGTCCAAATAGTTGCATTTAATTTGACCTGCTGAGCCGGGTTAGCACCTAAACCAACTACCGAAAGGCGGGCATGCGTGCGAGGAATTCCGATCCTTTGGATAAAGGACTCAGATACCATGGTTATTGTTGATCCAGTATCGAGCAATAACCTACATGAGGTCTCGTTTCCCCATGTGTCAATTACATCGGCGACAACAGTTGGCAGTAGGGCTGGATTGTTGGCCCTCCCCAAAATATGATGGCTAACAGCGGCAGTATTCGTATCAGCGGCAGTCGAGTGCGCAGGTGCCACAGGAACCGATCTTGCTTCAATCGGGTGTACTAACGTGTGATGCTTAGCGTTGCACTGACGTCAAGTGTTCGATGAATTACAATCCCTGACTTGATGCGATCGACTCAAGCAGTTGAAGCATAATTTTGTATCCTTGGAGAAGGTGCGGCGGCTGACTACATCCAGTGCCTTGAATTCATTGCATGAATATATAGAATGCTGTCCTTGGCAATATATACATTCGCGAGACGACTGAGTTGATCCACTGGCATGAAAGGCGGCTTGGCGGCGTCTACTCTGGGCTGGTCTTGAGGGTTGCATTGCGGGTAAATCCTGACAAGACTCCAAAGTATCACAATGAGCGAAAAGAAGGCAAACAGATCATCTATGGGGACGTCTTCAGTGGCCGATATACTACAGTTGGCCCAAGCTTGTTTAATTTCTGAACCTAACTTTGAGGTTGTTTTGTCCCTTAAATAGGCGTTCCACTGTACTTGAAAGTAGAATGTTCGACTGGTCCTGTCCATGATCTTGACCTCCCATGTCCTTGATGGCGTTACTAAAAATAGCATGCGCGGCGTAGAACTTGTCTTCGTATTCGGGTATGTCCAATCTAGGGTCTTCATATCCCTCCTCCAAGTGAAATTCCACTAAATCATCTGAGAGCTCCATCAAGTGGTTGAAAGTGGCGACCAAACGCTCCAGCTTGAATTGTAATGTTTCCACATTTTCACATCTTTGTAAAAAACTCCACAGCACTGTTGAGGGTGCGCGTTATTTGCCCCTTGCAGGCACCTCGTTCTTGAATCGTTCTATGCATTATCGCGTTCATGACAAAAAAGCGGTAAATTTGTCTCCAATGTTCACAAAAGTAAATGCACAAATAAACGCAGGCATCCGGCTCGAAGGACCAAAATTTGTTATGTTTTGAATAGTGGACTGTATTATGGTTTTTATTATAGTTTTATGCATTTATTTTCACTATTTAGCGGGTTTACAATGTTTTTAAGCGGGGTTGCTAACAGCGAGCGGTTGCGGTTAATGTCAACTAGAGAATGCGGCCGGCTTGCAAAACGTGCAGAAAAAGAAGTGAAAAACGATCGCGTGATGTTCTAATACTAACGCATTGCACTGCAATTTCGGCTATGCGTGTGAGCTTAAAGCTCCCAAATGGTAAACAAGACAATGATGTGCGCAAAAATAGGTACGATAATAAGAAATTAATTAACAAGTAAAGAAGCAAATGTAATACTATTTAAATGCAAAATAAAGACGAACTAGTTCTCAACACCGGGGTTTCAGAGCTTTTCTCCCTGACATAGATTGAAGGGGGCTCGGGTTTTTTTTTGCAGTGCCTTGCGCGTTGTTTTTCCCCAACCTCCGCCAGTAGGGAACTGGCTGGTTGGAACTATCTGTGTTATTGGATTAGCCTTGTTCTTTAACGATCTTCTGAACGCGGTTAGTTTTTGTTTTGTTGCCTGCCGGACTTACTCTGGGGGCTTAGCTTGCGCTTAATTTGAATGTAGCGATCTATTTCATCCTGTGTCGCCGGTCTGCTTTGACACATTCCAAAGGTTGTAGGTGCTTTTAATTGCCGATTTTTCCATTTCGGTATCTCGGGTTGAAAAGTAAGAGTAGAAGGCCTTTTTTTGGTTATCTACGTTTCTAAGCTCTATTTGATTGTTGCTCATTGATCAACTTTTAATTTTTTTTTTTGTTTTTTTTTTTCGACACACACTTTTCTTTCCTTTGCACGCAGTATATAAGTCGGAACGGCCCGGATCGGCCGACTATAGCCTATAGCTGCCATATAACTGATTGATCGGAAATGGTATAACTTTGACGTTTTTCAAGTTAGAGAGAAAACTTCGATTTCTTCGACAATGGCTGTCCGGTAGTTAACTGCTTGTACTCCACGTTGAAGAACTCCTCTTGAGCGTGCGTAAAGATCTTAGCTCGTGCATATTGTAGCTCCCACGCCGTTAGGAATGGTGAAAGTCGATTCCTCTCAAGAAGACGATGAACGAAGCGAAAGCAGTAGCTGACTATCCTTAATAAACGGGACCATGAGGAGGATTTGTTGATCATACAAGATAGCGAAGATAGCGATAGCGATCCGTCGTCGGAAATGTGTAGATTAACTTTCGTTTCAGCCTTCATCTCTAGGCAGGCCTCTTCTTCTGTCGACAGAACAAACTTAGCTTTAAAAGGTGGCCAAGCTGAACGTGACTGAGATAGCCAAGGTGGTCCATTCGACCATATTTGATGATCCACGAGGTCCTTTGGCAGTACTCCTCGCGATGCGCAGTCTGCGGGATTATCACCACTTTGAATATGTTGCCAGCAGCTGCGTGGGAAAACCTCTAGAATTTCAGCAGTGCGGTTGCAAACATAGGTGTTCCAAGTCCTAGGCGGAGAAGATAGCCAATGCAGGACTATTTCAGAGTCTGACCAACAATTGATTCTGGAAATAGGAACAGTTAATGATTGCTTGACCAGATAAATCAGTTTAGAGCGTAAATGAGCTGCGTTTAACTCTTGTCGCGGAATAGAGATAGGCCTAATAGGGGCTACGCGAGTTTTAGCCATAATCAGTTTGACAGCATATCCATTGTTGACTTCGACGCGGCTATAGATGACGGCAGCATACGCTTGAGATGATGCATCAGCAAATCCGTGCAGTTCCATTTCTTGATGTAGTGCAGATATGTAGCGAGGAACTCGACAAGTTTCCAATAAATGCATTTCCGATACAAACTGTTGCCATCGTGTACATAATTGCTGCGGTAGTACTTCATTCCAATCGACAGAACTTAGCCAACTATCTTGAAATAGGATCTTCAGAAAAACAACAGTTGGCGAAAGCAAACCCAGCGGGTCGTAGATCTTGGCTAGTTCTGAAAGCAATATGCGTTTAGTAAGAGCAGTTGTAAATGCGGGGGTTTCTAATTTAAAGAAAATATAGTCCGGTTTTGGTTCCCAACACAATCCCAGGACTTTAACAAATCGAAATGAGCGGTCTTCCTCTAAATCCTCTGGTGGATACTCACAAATCTCCTTTGGCAACGACTTTAAAAGGGCGTAACAGTTTGAGCTCCACTTTCGCAATTTGAATTGAGCTTCGCTAAGAAGCAGAATCAATTCATCTTTGAGTGCAATGAGATCCTTGATGTTGTCGCATCCAGTAGGAATATCATCAACGTACGCGTCTCTGTTGAGCACGACAGCAGCGGTGGGATACAATTCGGCATAGTCATTCGAGAGCTGTTTAAGAACTCGAACTGCAATAAACGGCGATGAAGCTAATCCATATGTTACTGTTACAACAGTCGATAATGATCCAGCGTAGCGTTTTCATCCCTTCCTCCAAACTATGCGTTGGTACTGTGTATGTTCGTCCGACACCAAAATGCCTCTAAACATCTTCTCGATGTCTGCACAAAATACATAACGATGCTGACGAAATCGAAGGCATACTCCAATTAAGTCCCTTTGAATAGGTGGTCCTATATGCAGTCGCGAATTAAGAGAATGACCCGTGGAATCCTTTCCAGAGCCGTCAAATACCACTCGCCAACGTGTGGTAGTACTATCTGGCTTAAAAACTGCATGGTGTGCCAAATAGTTGTAGCGTGCGGGATCCTCACCGCCTGCAGCAGCCGGAATCAATACCATATGTCCTCGATTTAAATAATCATCCATGAAATCCACATATTGTTTTTTGAGTGCGGGGAATCTTCTAAATTTCCTTTCCAAAGCGGCGAAGCGGTTTAAAGCCTGTGGCAAAGTGGAGCCAATTGGCGTGCGGGGCTCCTTGAATGGGTATTGAACAATATAAACACCATCTTCTCTACGAGCATGTGTTTTCAGAAAATGTTGTTCGGCGGGATCACTGGCGTCTATCGTTCTTTTACTCGGATGCACTTGTTCCATGTCCATAAATGAGCGAACTAAGGAATCCAAATCTTCATAAGCGTGATGAACTTGTGCGTGCGTAGATGCTTCGTTACAATCAGTATAGCTGCCTGTAATAACCCATCCAAAATTAGTATGCAGTGCGATGGGGTATTCGATACCAAACTCTCGGCGATGTCCAGTATATAAGTTCCACAGCTGATCAGCGCCTAAGATAACGTCGATTTTCCCCGGAGATCCAAACGTCGGGTCAGCTAGCGGTAGGCTGCGAATCTTGGTCCAAATAGTTGCATTTGATTTGACCTGCTGAGCCGGGTTAGCACCTAAACCAACTACCGAAAGGCGGGCATGCGTGCGAAGAATTCCGATCCTTTGGATAAAGGACTCAGATACCATGGTTATTGTTGATCCAGTATCGAACAATAACCTACATGAGGTCTCGTTTCCCCATGTGTCAATTACATCGGCGACAACAGTTGGCAGTAGGGCTGAATTGTTGGCCCTCCCCAAAATATGATGGCTAACAGCGGCAGTATTCGTATCAGCGGCAGTCGAGTGCGCAGGTGCCACAGGAACCGATCTTGCTTCAATCGGGTGTACTAACGTGTGATGCTTAGCGTTGCACTGACGTCAAGTGTTCGATGAATTACAATCCCTGACTTGATGCGATCGACTCAAGCAGTTGAAGCATAATTTTGTATCCTTGGCGAAGTTGCGGCGGCTGACTACATCCAGTGCCTTGAATTCATTGCATGAATATATAGAATGCTGTCCTTGGCAATATATACATTCGCGAGACGACTGAGTTGATCCACTGGCATGAAAGGCGGCTTGGCGGCGTCTACTCTGGGCTGGTCTTGAGGGTTGCATTGCGGGTAAATCCTGACAAGACTCCAAAGTATCACAATGAGCGAAAAGAAGGCAAACAGATCATCTATGGGGACGTCTTCAGTGGCCGATATACTACAGTTGGCCCAAGCTTGTTTAATTTCTGAACCTAACTTTGACAGCAAAATATAAATGAGCCATACATCGCGGCTGTCACAGTTCAGCGCATGTAAGCCTCGAATGCATTCATCGGCCGAGTCAATTACCTTGCGTAATTCTGCAATATTCGAATTGTTAGCGGTTGGCAACGATAAAAAATTCTGAACAAACGATCGAGCGATGAGCGACCTTTTATTATAACGATTTTCTAATTTTTCCCATGCGTCTTGGTAATTATCATTACAGACGGCAATATGTTTAATTAGGGACAGTGCTTCTCCCTCCAGATATGATTTGAGATAATGAAACTTTTGGCACTTGGAGAGCTTTTCGTTACTATTTACTGAGCTTAAGAACAAATCACTAAACTAGCTCCAATCCTCATATTTACCAGAAAATGTGGGAATCCGAATTTTCTCAAACCTTAAATCAGCAGTTCCCGATGAAGTATAAATTTTCTCCAAAAGGTTGTTTTGTCCCTCAAATAGGCGTTCCACTGTACTTGAAAGTAGAATGTTCGACTGGTCCTGTCCATGATCTTGACCTCCCATGTCCTTGATGGCGTTACTAAAAATAGCATGCGCGGCGTAGAACTTGTCTTCGTATTCGGGTATGTCCAATCTAGGGTCTTCATATCCCTCCTCCAAGTGAAATTCCACTAAATCATCTGAGAGCTCCATCAAGTGGTTGAAAGTGGCGATCAAACGCTCCAGCTTGAATTGTAATGTTTCCACATTTTCACATCTTTGTGAAATCTCCACAGCACTGTTGAGGGTGCGCGTTATTTGCCCCTTGCAGGCACCACGTTCTTGAATCGTTCTATGCATTATCGCGTTTATGACGAAAAAGCGGTAAATTTGTCTCTAATGTTCACAAAAGTAAATGCACAAATGCGGGTTTACAATATTTTTAAGCGGGGTTGCTATCAGCGAGCGGTTGCGGTTAATGTCAACAAGAGAATGCGGTCGGCTTGCAAAACGTGCAGAAAAAGAAGTGAAAAACGATCGCGTGATGTTCTAATACTAACGCATTGCACTGCAATTTCAGCTATGCGTGTGAGCTTAAAGCTCCCAAAATGTTAACAAGGCAATGATGTGCGCAAAAATAGGTACGATAATAAGAAATTAATTAACAAGTAAAGAAGCAAATGTAATACTATTTAAATGCAAAATAAAGACGAACTAGTTCTCAACACCGGGGTTTCAGAGCTTTTCACCCTGACATAGATTGAAGGGGGCTCGGGTTTTTTTTGCAGTGCCTTGCGCGTTGTTTTTCCCCAACCTCCGCCAGTAGGGAACTGGCTGGTTGGAACTATCTGTGTTATTGGATTAGCCTTGTTCTTTAACGATCTTCTGAACGCGGTTAGTTTTTGTTTTGTTGCCTGCCGGACTTACTCTGGGGGCTTAGCTTGCGCTTAATTTGAATGTAGCGATCTATTTCATCCTGTGTCGCCGGTCTGCTTTGACACATTCCAAAGGTTGTAGGTGCTTTTAATTGCCGATTTTTCCATTTCGGTATCTCGGGTTGAAAAGTAAGAGTAGAAGGCCTTTTTTTGGTTATCTAAGTTTCTACGCTCTATTTGATTGTTGCTCATTGATCAACTTTTAATTTTTTTTTTGTTTTTTTTTTCGATCTATTTCAGCATCAGCTCGCATTTCTGTATTCATCATAAAGCTTTAAGGCCCAGACGACCGAGGGGCGCTCGAGAAACGAATAATTAGTTAATAGTAAGCTAGTTGTAATATATTAAGCTAGAAGGAGTTAGTAAGGAAATTTATAATTCTATACTTTAATTCTAAAGTATAAATTCTATACTTTTTATACCCTTGCAGAGGGTATTATAATTTTGTAATAATATTTGTATAATTTTGTGCAACGCAGTGAAGGAGACATCTCCGACCCTATAAAGTATATATATTCTTGATCAGGATCACCTCCTGAGTTGATATGAGCATGTCAGTCGGTACGTCTGTCTGTTCGTCTGTCTGTCCGTTTCTACGCGAACTAGTCTCTCAGTTTTAAAGCTATCGTCTTGAAACTTTGCACACACTTTTCTTTCCTTTGCACGCAGTATATAAGTCGGAACGGCCCGGATCGGCCGACTATAGCCTATAGCTGCCATATAACTGATTGATCGGAAATGGTATAACTTTGACGTTTTTCAAGTTAGAGAGAAAACTTCGATTTCTTCGACAATGGCTGTCCGGTAGTTAACTGCTTGTACTCCACGTTGAAGAACTCCTCTTGAGCGTGCGTAAAGATCTTAGCTCGTGCATATTGTAGCTCCCACGCCGTTAGGAATGGTGAAAGTCGATTCCTTTCAAGAAGACGATGAACGAAGCGAAAGCAGTAGCTGACTATCCTTAATAAACGGGACCATGAGGAGGATTTGTTGATCATACAAGATAGCGAAGATAGCGATAGCGATCCGTCGTCGGAAATGTGTAGATTAACTTTCGTTTCAGCCTTCATCTCTAGGCAGGCCTCTTCTTCTGTCGACAGAACAAACTTAGCTTTAACAGGTGGCCAAGCTGAACGTGACTGAGATAGCCAAGGTGGTCCATTCGACCATATTTGATGATCCACGAGGTCCTTTGGCAGTACTCCTCGCGATGCGCAGTCTGCGGGATTATCACCACTTTGAATATGTTGCCAGCAGCTGCGTGGGAAAACCTCTAGAATTTCAGCAGTGCGGTTGCAAACATAGGTGTTCCAAGTCCTAGGCGGAGAAGATAGCCAATGCAGGACTATTTCAGAGTCTGACCAACAATTGATTCTGGAAATAGGAACAGTTAATGATTGCTTGACCAGATAAATCAGTTTAGAGCGTAAATGAGCTGCGTTTAACTCTTGTCGCGGAATAGAGATAGGCCTAATAGGGGCTACGCGAGTTTTAGCCATAATCAGTTTGACAGCATATCCATTGTTGACTTCGACGCGGCTATAGATGACGGCAGCATACGCTTGAGATGATGCATCAGCAAATCCGTGCAGTTCCATTTCTTGATGTGGTGCAGATATGTAGCGAGGAACTCGACAAGTTTCCAATAAATGCATTTCCGATACAAACTGTTGCCATCGTGTACATAATTGCTGCGGTAGTACTTCATTCCAATCGACAGAACTTAGCCAACTATCTTGAAATAGGATCTTCAGAAAAACAACAGTTGGCGAAAGCAAACCCAGCGGGTCGTAGATCTTGGCTAGTTCTGAAAGCAATATGCGTTTAGTAAGAGCAGTTGTAAATGCGGGGGTTTCTAATTTGAAGAAAATATAGTCCGGTTTTGGTTTCCAACACAATCCCAGGACTTTAACAAATCGAAATGAGCGGTCTTCCTCTAAATCCTCTGGTGGATACTCACAAATCTCCTTTGGCAACGACTTTAAAAGGGCGTAACAGTTTGAGCTCCACTTTCGCAATTTGAATTGAGCTTCGCTAAGAAGCAGAATCAATTCATCTTTGAGTGCAATGAGATCCTTGATGTTGTCGCATCCAGTAGGAATATCATCAACATACGCGTCTCTGTTGAGCACGACAGCAGCGGTGGGATACAATTCGGCATAGTCATTCGAGAGCTGTTTAAGAACTCGAACTGCAATAAACGGCGATGAAGCTAATCCATATGTTACTGTTACAACAGTCGATAATGATCCAGCGTAGCGTTTTCATCCTTCCTCCAAACTATGCGTTGGTACTGTGTATGTTCGTCCGACACCAAAATGCCTCTAAACATCTTCTCGATGTCTGCACAAAATACATAACGATGCTGACGAAATCGAAGGCATACTCCAATTAAGTCCCTTTGAATAGGTGGTCCTATATGCAGTCGCGAATTAAGAGAATGACCCGTGGAATCCTTCCCAGAGCCGTCAAATACCACTCGCCAACGTGTGGTAGTACTATCTGGCTTAAAAACTGCATGGTGTGCCAAATAGTTGTAGCGTGCGGGATCCTCACCGCCTGCAGCAGCCGGAATCAATTCCATATGTCCTCGATTTAAATAATCATCCATGAAATCCACATATTGTTGTTTGAGTGCGGGGAATCTTCTAAATTTCCTTTCCAAAGCGGCGAAGCGGTTTAAAGCCTGTGGCAAAGTGGAGCCAATTGGCGTGCGGGGCTCCTTGAATGGGTATTGAACAATATAAACACCATCTTCTCTACGAGCATGTGTTTTCAGAAAATGTTGTTCGGCGGGATCACTGGCGTCTATCGTTCTTTTACTCGGATGCACTTGTTCCATGTCCATAAATGAGCGAACTAAGGAATCCAAATCTTCATAAGCGTGATGAACTTGTGCGTGCGTAGATGCTTCGTTACAATCAGTATAGCTGCCTGTAATAACCCATCCAAAATTAGTATGCAGTGCGATGGGGTATTCGATACCAAACTCTCGGCGATGTCCAGTATATAAGTTCCACAGCTGATCAGCGCCTAAGATAACGTCGATTTTCCCCGGAGATCCAAACGTCGGGTCAGCTAGCGGTAGGCTGCGAACCTAAACCAACTACCGAAAGGCGGGCATGCGTGCGAAGAATTCCGATCCTTTGGATAAAGGACTCAGATACCATGGTTATTGTTGATCCAGTATCGAGCAATAACCTACATGAGGTCTCGTTTCCCCATGTGTCAATTACATCGGCGACAACAGTTGGCAGTAGGGCTGGATTGTTGGCCCTCCCCAAAATATGGTGGCTAACAGCGGCAGTATTCGTATCAGCGGCAGTCGAGTGCGCAGGTGCCACAGGAACCGATCTTGCTTCAATCGGGTGTACTAACGTGTGATGCTTAGCGTTGCACTGACGTCAAGTGTTCGATGAATTACAATCCCTGACTTGATGCGATCGACTCAAGCAGTTGAAGCATAATTTTGTATCCTTGGCGAAGGTACGGCGGCTGACTACATCCAGTGCCTTGAATTCATTGCATGAATATATAGAATGCTGTCCTTGGCAATATATACATTCGCGAGACGACTGAGTTGATCCACTGGCATGAAAGGCGGCTTGGCGGCGTCTACTCTGGGCTGGTCTTGAGGGTTGCATTGCGGGTAAATCCTAACAAGACTCCAAAGTATCACAATGAGCGAAAAGAAGGCAAACAGATCATCTATGGGGACGTCTTCAGTGGCCGATATACTACAGTTGGCCCAAGCTTGTTTAATTTCTGAACCTAACTTTGACAGCAAAATATAAATGAGCCATACATCGCGGCTGTCACAGTTCAGCGCATGTAAGCCTCGAATGCATTCGTCTGCCGAGTCAATTACCTTGCGTAATTCTGCAATATTCGAATTGTTAGCGGTTGGCAACGATAAAAAATTCTGAACAAACGATCGAGCGATGAGCGACCTTTTATTATAACGATTTTCTAATTTTTCCCATGCGTCTTGGTAATTATCATTACAGACGGCAATATGTTTAATTAGGGACAGTGCTTCTCCCTCCAGATATGATTTGAGATAATGAAACTTTTGGCACTTGGAGAGCTTTTCGTTACTATTTACTGAGCTTAAGAACAAATCACTAAACTAGCTCCAATCCTCATATTTACCAGAAAATGTGGGAATCCGAATTTTCTCAAACCTTAAATCAGCAGTTCCCGATGAAGTATGAATTTTTATGAATTGCTTGAATTGTAATGTTTCCACATTTTCACATCTTTGTGAAAACTCCACAGCACTGTTGAGGGTGCGCGTTATTTGCCCCTTGCAGGCACCACGTTCTTGAATCGTTCTATGCATTATCGCGTTCATGACAAAAAAGCGGTAAATTTGTCTCTAATGTTCACAAAAGTAAATGCACAAATAAACGCAGGCATCCGGCTCGAAGGACCAAAATTTGTTATGTTTTGAATAGTGGACTGTATTATGGTTTTTATTATAGTTTTATGCATTTATTTTCACTATTTAGCGGGTTTACAATGTTTTTAAGCGGGGTTGCTATCAGCGAGCGGTTGCGGTTAATGTCAACAAGAGAATGCGGCCGGCTTGCAAAACGTGCAGAAAAAGAAGTGAAAAACGATCGCGTGATGTTCTAATACTAACGCATTGCACTGCAATTTCGGCTATGCGTGTGAGCTTAAAGCTCCCAAATGGTAAACAAGACAATGATGTGCGCAAAAATAGGTACGATAATAAGAAATTAATTAACAAGTAAAGAAGCAAATGTAATACTATTTAAATGCAAAATAAAGACGAACTAGTTCTCAACACCGGGGTTTCAGAGCTTTTCACCCTGACATAGATTGAAGGGGGCTCGGGTTTTTTTTGCAGTGCCTTGCGCGTTGTTTTTCCCCAACCTCCGCCAGTAGGGAACTGGCTGGTTGGAACTATCTGTGTTATTGGATTAGCCTTGTTCTTTAACGATCTTCTGAACGCGGTTAGTTTTTGTTTTGTTGCCTGCCGGACTTACTCTGGGGGCTTAGCTTGCGCTTAATTTGAATGTAGCGATCTATTTCATCCTGTGTCGCCGGTCTGCTTTGACACATTCCAAAGGTTGTAGGTGCTTTTAATTGCCGATTTTTCCATTTCGGTATCTCGGGTTGAAAAGTAAGAGTAGAAGGCCTTTTTTTGGTTATCTACGTTTCTAAGCTCTATTTGATTGTTGCTCATTGATCAACTTTTAATTTTTTTTTTTGTTTTTTTTTTCGATCTATTTCAGCATCAGCTCGCCTTTCTGTATTCATCATAAAGCTTAAAGGCCCAGACGACCGAGGGGCGCTCGAGAAACGAATAATTAGTTAATAGTAAGCTAGTTGTACAATATTAAGATAGAAGGAGTTAGTAAGGAAATTTATGATTCTATACTTTAATTCTAAAGTATAAATTCTATACTTTTTATACCCTTGCAGAGGGTATTATAATTTTGTCCAAAAGTGTGCAACGCAGTGAAGGAGACATCTCCGACCCTATAAAGTATATATATTCTTGATCAGGATCACCTCCTGAGTTGATATGAGCATGTCCGTCGGTACGTCTGTCTGTCCGTCTGTCTGAAACTTTGCACACACTTTTCTTTCCTTTGCACGCAGTATATAAGTCGGAACGGCCCGGATCGGCCGACTATATCCTATAGCTGCCATATAATTGATTGATCGGAAATGGTATAACTTTGACGTTTTTAAAGTTAGAGAGTTCAAATTTGACATGAGAGCATTTTTTGGAAAATCATTACGACATGCCAAATTTCATAAGGATCGGCCGACTATATCCGTTAGCTGCTATATAACTGAACGATCGGAAATGACCCAACTTTCGTGTGTTTGAAGATAGAAAGTTGGAACCTGGTACAGATTCTATTTTTGGTCAGTTGATCCAACCTACCAAATTTCATTAGGATCGGCCGACTATATCTTAAAGCTGCCATATAACTGAACGATCGGAATTGACCCAACTTTTGTGTTTTTTAAGAGAGAAAGCTGTAACTTGGTACAGATTTTTTTTTGGTCAGTTAATCCGACCTGACCATATCTTATAGCTGCCGATCGAACGATCGGAAATGGTTTTTGGTAGAAATACCAACTTTGGTATTTTTGAAGATAGAAGTTTGGGACTTTTTTTTAGATTTTATATTATAATAAATTGGGATATATTATCATATTTTTATAAGGATCGGCCAACTGTATCCGATGTTTGCGATATATATCCGGTTTAACTGCAAGGGTATATCAACTTCGGCTCCGCCAGAAGTTAGCTTTCCTTTCTTGTTTAGGTTCGTGTTGTGCATATGTCAAACTACAACGGGTAAGGAATAGAGGACTTAAGTTTCTAGTCCTTCTATTAGGAATGTTTAAATTTAAGCGTGTTAGTTAATGCTGGCTATCTAAATCCCCATTAATTGGGTTATGCAGAAAAACTACACCAAGCAGTGTCCTACGATTTGTTAAGCTAAGTCAAGGTAAGTTTATAAGTCTACTATTATAAGATGGAAGGTGAAGATTTGCATCCCAATTTAGACCCCTAAGAGAAAAAGTTAAAAAATTCTTTTATACGGATTCTATGCAGTCCTGATGAACTCCATATTGGGGACTCCAGACACATGAACTGTACTCCAGTATCGGACGGACCAAAGAAATGAATTATGTTTTGGTTATATATGGGTCATTAAATTCTTTTGACCACCTTTTAATAAAACCAAGGACTCCTTTAGCCTTATTAACGTCTTATAGGAGGCCGAGATCATTAACCTGGGTTAATTTTTCTAAGGAAATCCCATAGAGAGTATACGTAGCCTGCAGGGGGCAAGAACGATAAAAGCTTGTATTTTGATCCATTAAGTATTAAATCGTTAGCTAAACACCATATTTAATAGTTACCAAGGTCAGAGTGAAGACTGCATTGGGCAGGATTTGTACTAAAAACAAAGCTTTACATCATCTGCATACATAAGAACTAGAGAGTTCGTTAAACCAGGGGGCAAGTCATTTGTAAAAAGAGTAAATAACAACGGGCCAAGATGACTTCCTTGAGGGACGCTATATGTAGGACGAACCAGACGGGAATGTATGTTTTGTGCAAGACTCTTTGTGTCCTTCCATTTAAGTAGCTGGAGATGCACGTTAAGAGGTCTGTAGAAAATCCCAGCATATTCAGTTTACTCAACAAGAGAGAGTAATCACTCACTCTTGAATCAAATGCTTTGCTAAAGTCTGTGTAAATTACATCGGCTTGATATCCCTTACGAAAGCCATCTATGACATTGGAATAAAATTCCAATAAATTCGTCGTGGTGGAGCGACGCTTAATAAAGCCATGCTGACAAGGAGAGATGATCGAAGAGCAAAGGTGTTGCAGATGGGGAGTAATTAATTTTTCAAATAACTTTGGAATTGCCGACAATTTAAAGATGCCTCTGTAATTGGAGGCATCGGAGTTTTTCCCCTTTTTTATGAAAGGGAATTATGAAAGATTCCCTCCACTTGGGGGGAAAAATCGAGGTTTCCAAAGATAAGTTGAAAAGTATTAGAAGAGGTTTGCACAGAGCCCTGGCACAGTACTTTAGAACATAGCCTGGTTCTCCATCAGGGCCTGGCGAATAAATGGGTTTGACCTTTAGAAGATCAGATAATAAGCTATTCCCGGTGAAAAACAGACAGAAAATAAGATTTGCTGATTGAATGTTGTATGCAAAGGCAATCTGTAAATTTAGGCGGAGAATAAGTTGTTTGAAAAAATTCTTCGAATAGATCGGCAATGGCCTGATAAGAGATCGCAGATAAATTTCTAAACGTAAGCAGTGGTGGGAATGATACATGTATACGCTTTGTGTTTACAAAATTATAAAACTGAATCGGATCCTGAGTAAATTGCATCCAGCAGCGATTATATCGCTATAATTATAATAAGCGGAAACATTCAGCGTTATGCACGGTAAAATTTGGCTGAGCTAGTAGATATCTTGAGAAATCAATACTACTGCAGGTTTTTTTATATTTTAGTAAGAGTCTATTTTTAGTATTTTTTAGTATTTTTTTTATTTTTATTTTTAGTGAGGCACCTTGTAAACCAAGAAGGATTTGTTGAAGCGGACGGATATTTCAATGGCACACAGGAGTCAAAAAATGTATTTAAAGTACAGTAAAATTATTCAAATGTGGCAATAAGATCGATGCATGGCAGAATATCGGACCAATCATGTGTATCGATAGGGCTATTATGTTTGTGAAAAACAGCTTTACGGAAACAGCGAATCTTATTTGTCACGCATGGAGCCATCTGATGGATACCAGGAATGGTTTCGATTGAGACCTTCAGCGTGGGGTGATAAGAGTCCTTTGGGGTTGAAAGGGGGAAAGCTCTGGAGAGAGCGGTACCATCGGGATAAGTCTAAAAGCCGACCTAACATGGTTTTTAACATATCCGAACAGGCTGAATTTCTAACATGGTTCATTTGACCTAAGGACTTGTCAAACATGCCTGCGGTGAAGTCATGGTGAGTTTTAAGTGATAAAGATGGTGAGTTATCGACGTTGGACCACTTTAATTCTGGGATATTAAAGTCGCCCACAGCGACGAGCTGGTCACGATCAGTCATAACATTAAAAACGGATTGAATAGCGAACAACTGCTGTCAATATGTGGGCGGTTCAGACGAAGGCGGTATATATGAACATATAATGTATAAAGATTTCACGGACAAGATAATTTAAATACAAATAGCTCCACCCTCCCTTCGCTGACATCGAACCCTTCTAAAAGTGGTGTACTTACTTAGAAAAACTTCGGAGCTAAATTTCTCCGGCTTTCTGTAATTTTAACCAAGTTTCAGTTAAGGCTATAATATGGGATGCAAAGAAAGAACTATCGGAATATAGTTTGGGGATACATGTTGGGCTACATAACCCCCTAGTATTCTGATAGGTAAGTGTTAGTGGCGATACTAGTTTTTTGGGTTAATGGACGAAGAAGAGGTGGAAGGTTGGTCAGTGGTTCTAATATGTGGAAGTTTCACTCATACTGGTTTTAAAACTTTTTTCTTTACAGTACTAGGCTGATGTTCTTGGACGAAATTATTCTTTGGACAAAAACTGGATGAACAAAACATCTAGAACATCAGAATCTTGAAAAAAGACGTGCGCCTTACATAATTATATTTAAATTTCGCTCTGTCCTCCACCTTTGTATCGGCTTTAGTTTTTGGCTATGATATAAGCCAAGATATTAATATCTAAAGTATGAGGGGCAAGCCAAGAAACAAATATATGTTTCAATGGAGGAATCACCTGTAAGGGTTTTGGTGTCGCAGGTACGAGAACTGCAGCATCAGTCGATGCCGGTGGTCCGGACTGTGGAATACCCCGTTGGGTGACTTTAACGGGGGTTTCATTCACTATTACCTGTGGTATCCCTTGAAGGGATGCCACGGGGGTGATTGTCGGACAATTAATCATTTGTCTGGCCCTTGGGGTGGCCAGAGATCGGCTGCGCTACTGTCGTTACCGATCACAAACAGCGGATTTCTTACGCTTAGGTGACTCATTTAGCAGCTGAAGGCCGCTAAACTGAGTATCAAGCCCACAGAGCTGGTCATTGATTTTACGAAAACCAGTGATCAACTCTTTAAATCCATGGTAGGCTGGTAGGCTGGGATGAGGAGATTGTCTTGTTACAGGACTTCATAGAACACACCAATTTAAATTCCATATTATTAATAAACAAAACAAAATTATTATATAAAAAGTTAAAAAAAACACTATACCTCGAACCACTGTGCCAAATAGGAAGCCGAAACGGGAGCTTTGGAGAGTACAAAGGAAAAATGCAGAAATAGAGATAAGACGGGTATGAAGCAGAGCTGAGCTATGCTTGGCATTGAATTTAAACACATTATTAATTCGCCTCCAAATATACCGCAGCACACGCGAAGCGATACGGTTAAGTTAAAACTTAAGATTCTCAATAAATTCGATTCACGAGCGAGTAAACACCGGTTTACCAATATTTATAAACGCAATATTTATATAAATGCAACGCGGACTGTTCGCTTAAG